AAGAAGTAAAACCCACTATTATAAGCGTAGCAATCTGAGAGGGTGGGTTTTGATACACACACATGCACACACATCTAATGTAATGATTGAAGTGCATCAAATACAGAAGTGAACAGTTTTTTTCTTTTTGCTGTCAGTAGGTAATGTAAGGTCCATAAAGGAATCAAAAACTGTAAAGATAAATTGTTTTGGTCTTTACCTAAAGCAGTGTAAGAGAATTCAGGAATTGTTGCAGATATGAAAAACTGCACGAGGCCAACTTCATTTTTCAGTGTGTGCCTCAAATAGGCAAATTTAAAGCCTTGTGCTCTGGTCCAAATCTCAAATCAATAGGAGTATTCAATCTTCTAGAGATTTTGCTTAGTAGAGTTGTATATGTGTTCTATTTCTTCAGTGTGGAGTGGAGAAGAAACCAAAACCCTTTCAGAAGTTGCTGTAAGCTCACTAAGTTTTCCACATTCTCAGTTTCATTACTCTTAAGATTCTTCCGTTTAGTTGTACATTCAGTGTACAAAGAACCTTATCTCATATGATGTTGAAACGTATAAGATTTGGAATTTGTGTCAAGATTGTTTTTGCATCTTGATATAAATATGCATGTACCTCATTTTACAGCTTAGAAGAGTAAAATGGCAGCACATAGTAACATATGCTGAGCACTTAGGAACTAACAAGAGGCAGCAGCAAGAGCAGTGAAGTATCCTACAACAGGTGATGCTGCATGGATAATGAAGCCATCTATCTGGGCGGGAAGCCTATATGCCACATGTAGATTCAGCTTGTTAGCCATCGTGTTTTCCCATGCTTGGGAGAAATTGAGTAATTTGATACACAGACCACACATTTGGAAATTCTTGTTTCAGAAGTCTTTGGTCTTCAATAGGTTGCTATTATTACTGAAGTATCATTGCCTCTCTCTGCAGAATCTCTCAAACTAACTGCTATATATTATCATACTCAAAATGAAGGTGCCATTTTGCATTCCTCCTTACACTAAAATCATAGCAAGCCATTTATTCCGTCAAGAAGTTGTTCACATAAATAAATGATCGAAACAAAAGGAGGTAGCACGGATATAGAGGCTACAGCCCTTATTTGCCAGTGACTCTTTGTATGACACAGAGTCACTCACCTGCTTTGTACCTCAATTTCCCATCTGTACAATGGGCTTAAAATACCTACCTCACAGGGGTGTTGTGAGGCTTTTTAGTATAATGTTTGTAAAGTGCTTTGAGATCCTTGGATGAAAGGTGTAATAAGAAATCAAATTATCCACATTTTTATTTTTTACTGCCATACAAGACTGCACTTTTGTTCAGATGGCTAAAGACTTCCAGCTCTTAAACCTATTCCACATATTCCTCACCATAATTTGCCTGACATTTGTTTTATCTATTGGGGGATAAACAAAACAAATTTTGCATTCACTAATTATTAAATTGTCATAGTATTCTGGGAATGAGAGCTAAAATAATCTAATATTTGTTTTAAACTGTGTTTCATATTCCTTTTCCATGCAACCCCAAATCTTACTGGCGGCTCTTCATCTAATTAGCTGACTTGTTTCTTTTTTAGACACTCGGATGCTTCTCCAAATAAAAAAAATGTGATTTGAGTCAGTGGTTCTAAAAGTTCTGTAAGGAATAGATTAGATTGTTTAGTCCTACATACTTTGCAGTCATTTAACAAAAAAGCTATTAAATAACATCATGTAAAGGTTAGTAGAAGTTACAGGTTAAATCTAAGGAAGCATAGAAACATGAAGTCTAATCAAGATTAGATTTTACTCAGCTGAATAAAAGGCACATATGTTCACATAGAACTGCGAGGCTGGCATATTTTGTGGAAGTGAACTAAGACACAATCTGATTTATTACTTAAACTTTTAGTTTAATAAACAAGTGACAAGGATGCTTCACTAGACTAGGGCAGTAGGCTCAGCATACAACAAACTATTATTGAGGAGATGATACAGTATGCATAAACATTGTATTTGTTGGAATTAACTGCTTCATAGTGATAAGAAATGTGTGAAAAATAGTTGTTAAAAAAAGTAGCAGATCTAAGAAAAGGACAAAAATTGAAAGAGGAGGAATGAATCTAAATTAAAATATTTTGTTTTCCTGCCTCTCTCATCCAGAATTCATGCTTTACACCTTTCTCCTCCACCACCTTTTTTTCTTCTTCTTTTTAGGACTGAACGGGCAGGAGCCCTGAAAAGGATATAACCAAACAGAATAAAAAATATTATAGTTACAGCTTTCACCCAGCTTCACCTACTCAAAAGGAATTTACATGTCTTCATTCATACAGTATGTGACTCATATTTTGACTTTTTACTGTTGTGGAGGCAAGCTATAACACATTCCTCCCTTGATAATCATTTACATGACTCTTACTCATGTAAAAGCAAACACAAAAACCTTTATGTAGAAAACAAACCCTCAAATTTATTTGTTTTTTTACATTTTAGGAGTTGGCCTAGAGTAGTCACTTTTTTCCTGAACAGTTCTCTGGATGGCTTTTGAAAACATTTTTTCCCCATGCTTTATTTCATTATTCTGAATTTAAGTTAAATTTGGACTGATTTCATCAGTTTTTCTCTGTGTTTCATACTAAGCCTGAAGGTACTGCTTCTTTAACTACTTCGATAGTCCTTTTTCTACATCTAACTGCCAATCGCATCTAGCTCCAAGAAGTAACCCCAAAAAAGCTGCAGTTTCTACTTAACAATCTTCTTGGCAGTAGGTTTTAGTCTTAAATCTAAATAAATGGGGTACGTACATTTTGCTTTAGAAAATGATCACTAGTGTAATGAAAAATTTGATTTTCCGATAAAGCAAACTAATTATCCTTAATTTAAGTAACCCTTAAATACCTACTTCTATGCAGACATTCAGGGTAAATTTTTTTCACATAGGAAGCATAAGTGACATCCCTTACTATTAAAAACTGATACTCGTATATATGTAATTTTTAGTAGACAGAAGCATGAATATGAATTATGATTATCTTGAGAGTAACAGCAACTAGAATAAAACCATCCTTAATGATAAATAGGTAACTCACTGCTGACTAAGAACATCTTGTTACGTGAAAACAACATAATACGCTTTCCTGCTAATTAGCCTCCAATTGTATTGAAATGTAACAGGTAATATATAGTAACTTCCATGCAGAGCTTCTTTTTCCTAGACATAGCCTAGTCATCTATCAGGTCTGCTGCTTAACTACAGCCTACTATCATCCCAGGATCCCTAACCACTGTGTAGAAGCAATACTATCTTATGGCTGAAATATTAATTATTGTGCTGTTGAGCTTTGTATTTAAAACTCTGATTTACTCTCTTGTCCACTGACCTGAAAATTACTTTTATAAAAAATCATTTTTCTGTGATCAAAATGTTAGTATACAAGCCTACTAGTTGAACTTTTTCTACTTTGTTTTGCTTAGCCCAAAACATAAAGTCACACTTTAGAAAGTGCTGTATATTTAGGTGCACCAGTGATGCAAATACATCTGAGCAGAAAATATGATATTAGCAAGTTGATGGACTAGCTTTTGACTAGGTTTTAATTGTTGGATCTCTACTGATTTCTTTGAGTTTGCAATAGATTGAAAAACTGGCATAACACGTCAACATAATGACAGACTTAGGAAATTTCCTTTCAGTTTGTGATGCTAAACATTTAAATATTGCTTGATAGTTGATCATAAACAACAAAATTTATGAGACATTTCTTAGTAAGCCATGGTGAATGTATATCTGTTTTAAGAACGGGTCTAATAATAACATAACTTCTGAGTGAACATGAGATGTCAGAAAGTGCTCTCTGGATGATATTCATCTGACCAAATACAGATATCTTTAAGGTAGGCATCTGCTCTGAGCCCCTTTGTTGTCAATGAAGAGAAACAGGCACTTTTAGTAAGTAATTCATTTAATTCTGAGGAAGATACCTTAGCCAGATCAGGTGGATTATACCCTTATAGTGTCTGCCTCTTTTACTGATCAAGGACAGGAATATCGAGCAGCTTACTGGGATACAGATGCCTGCCTTACTCATGTCTAAAGTTAGGTGAAATGAATCTCACCCTTAGGGCCTCACACTGGCTCAGTCTTAATACATATTCCCCTTACAACCGCTGCTAAATCAAAGCTAAGTAAAAAACATGCTGCACCTCTATGTTAGAATGCACAGGGTAGTAGATAGCAGCCCTACCATACATGTATGACCATATAATTTGGGCTAGCACATTAACTTAAAATTGCATTATGCATATAGTTACTTCTATCTTCCATTCATATAACAACTCTTTTAAAATTTGTACTTCTCCACAGTTGATGTAATTAAACTAATAGATTGTGATTTCTGCTCTTGGATCCACTAAGTAAAATGTTATTTTGATCTTAGCATGTAGTCATTGGTTCTACTGTTAATGATGTGTATGATGTTAAAAAAATAACCGTTTCCTGTTGTGTGTATTTTTTTCTCTTCTGGTGAATTTTATTCATCATTAAGAGAGTAAAACCAGTAGTGTTCACTCCTTTCCCATTTACCATATTTACAGAATATGAAGGAGTGAGACACATTTGAAACCTAGGCAGTTACGTTATATTAGTAATATGGTTGCAGTAAACCCCATAAAACTAAAATTAGAGATGAGAAAGAGAAACTGAATTTTGTATGCCATAGCATTTTATCATAGTAGTAGTGAGCACTTTGATTGTTTTTATCTTATCAGTACTGTGAAATAAATTTGTATGAATAGCAGAAAAACAGAAATAGCCCTATGGACTATAGAGAAATTCACTTAATAAAACTTAACTGCACATGGGCCTTAGTTGAATAGAATTGCTGTGTAATTAACAATATCTGACATGCAGTTTGTTTTCTGTCCATGTGATTGCAACAACAGTTCCAATTGTAGCCACTTTTTTTCTTTTCTTTTCCTTTTTCTTTCTTTGTTTCTTTCTTTGTTTCTGTTTTTTATGCAGAAGACCATCAAATGAATTGTCACAATACTCGAATAATGCAAGACACAGAAAAAGACGATAACAATAATGATGAGTATGATAATTACGATGAACTGGTGGCCAAGTCATTGTTAAATCTTGGCAAAATTGCTGAGGATGCAGCATACAGAGCCAGGACAGAATCAGAAATGAACAGCAATACATCTAATAGTCTGGAAGATGATAGTGACAAAAATGAAAATATTGGTCGGAAAAGCGAGCTGAGTTTAGACTTAGACAGTGATGTTGTTAGGGAAACAGTGGACTCCCTTAAATTACTAGCACAAGGACACGGTGTAGTGCTATCAGAAAACATTAATGATAGAAATTATGCAGACAATACTTCACAGCAAGATAATAGGAATATGAACTTTGTAATGTTAGGGAAGCCTGTGAACAATGGACTTACGGAAAAAATGGTGGAGGAGAGTGATGAAGAGGTGTGTCTCAGCAGTTTGGAGTGCTTAAGGAACCAGTGTTTTGATCTGGCTAGGAAACTCAGTGAGACAAACCCACAGGAAAGAAATCAACAGCAAAACATGAACACTCGTCAGCATGTCAGGCAAGAAGATGACTTCCAAGGAAGAACACCAGACCGGAATTACTCTGATATGATGAACCTAATGAGGCTTGAAGAACAGTTGAGCCCCAGATCTAGGACTTTTTCTAGCTGTGCAAAGGAGGATGGTTGTCACGAAAGAGATGATGATACCACCTCTGTTACTTCAGATAGGTCTGAAGAAGTGTTTGATATGACAAAAGGTAACTTAACCCTGCTTGAGAAAGCAATTGCTTTGGAAACTGAGAGAGCAAAAGCCATGAGAGAAAAAATGGCAGTGGAAGCTGGAAGGAGGGATAATATGAGATCATTTGAGGAACAATCTCCAAGACAACTTTCTGGGGATGACAGGAAGCCTAAACCCAGTGACGGCCATGTCAAAAAGCCATATTATGGTAAAGGTAATATTTCTATATACCGTATGTTATGTCATGAGAAAGTATGAACTAACGTGTTAAGTTTTGCATAGAATTCTGAAATGAATTTATTAATTCCACAAAATGGTAAATTTGTTTAAATTGTGGTAGTATGGCATGATTGTAAAATAGTTTCATGCTGTGACTATGAAAAAAAAATCATTCTGCAATGTTAGAAATATGCACAGTATTTCAGTGAATATCATTTGGCTAAACTGAAAAAATAAGTTTTCGGGGAAATAAACAAGAGATCATGTTGAAAGAGGCAAAGATTTTTCTCATATTTAATATATTTTATAGTGATTATTAAAAACATGAGAGAGTGGAGTTTTATGTACCAGGTAGTCAATCAGCTTTGAAGTGCATATTTTACAGGTTGGATTGGGTAGGTGGCATTGTGATTTATAAAATTATCATCAAATGACAGTTATTGATGAAGCCTCTCCCATCTAAAATGTAGAATTGCCTGATAGAAATTGAACAGTATCAGAATGACCGATAACACAAGATAGGGGCAGTGACTGCACATTAATTATCTTAAGATAGTAGGGTAATGGAAACCATTTGCTATGCAAGGCATGGTGTGGCCTGGGCTGAGATCAATAGCAATTTATTTCTTATGTGCATTCCACTTCACTGGTTTCATTCCATTGTGGAAACAGTTAAGGTGCTGCCTTGACCATAATTCAATATAAAAGATACAAACACACACACAATATATACACACAGAAAAAAAAAAAAACAAAAAAAAACAAAAAAACTTTTTTTAAAAAAGTGAAAACACCAAAAAAGGCAAACTAAAGGTTTACTTTAGAATGCATTTTAATTTATGGGATTATCCTTGTTATGGTGTGTTTATTTTACCACATTCCTCTTTAACATATCTACATCTGTACTGCAGGGCTGTGTTGTATAAATTATTCAATACCTCCTGAAAGTGAACAAACACCTTTAATTCCCATTGACTTTAGTGGAAGTTGAGGACATGCTATTATTTCTTGGGAGCTGCTAAGTAGGGACTAGGTTTATCTTGTATTTGTTATTATAATAATAGATTCATCTCTGAAAATGAACTGAGATGTTGAGCATTTCCCTACTTTTTTATAAATCATTGTTTTGAAAGACTGATATCAGCCTGAGACATTCAGGTAGGCAGAAAACATCTTGGTCCAAGCAAGGTTTTGATTTTTTTACAAAACTTTAAGAAAAGTAATGTCCAGTCTCTTAGAAAAGCATGGAAATTACTATTATCAAAAACTCTTGTGAGATGTATTATAGCGAAGTGTTGTTGGCTTTGACTATATATATATATATAAATATATATATGGTCTAATGAAGGCTATCGTGATGTTGGGTATTTGGGAAAGACAACTTTAGTTTAGTATATTATTGCATTTCTATTTGGATGTCATTCTAAATGTTGTTCACATATGTCACATATGTTAGGTGCCTTTTCCCTTTGAATATGTGTCTGTAATAAAACTACAGAAAAAAAATGGAAAAACTATTAATTTTTCAAGAGCTTTTTAACTCTTCTGTTTTCTATCCTTCCAATCTTTATAGACATAGACTGTATGCATTTATGCATATAGATCTGCTATCTCCCAAAAGACAATATAAGTCCTAAAACAATATAGGTAAAAGACAATAGCAATAGCGTGGACTTAATATTTCACTAAATTCTAGAGCTTCTTTGAAACATCCTGTCCTTTAAGAGCTGTAGGCTGAATTGATAATAGGTCCAAACCCCAGCAAGGGAGCCAAAAGACCGTGCTTTGTGTTGTGGTCATTTGGACCAAGAATGTTGTGGAAGTTTGGACCAAGATATGTTGTGGAAATTTGGACCGAGAAACATTGTGGAGTGGATAGTTCTATGCTTTCTTTAATTAAGGTAATAAAAAAAAATTGATTCCTTCCTTACATTAAAAAGGTAGTTGTTGAGAAAGCAAGCTTTAAGTTAGACAGTTGCTTATATCATTTGTTCTCAACTGATACATTATCTTCCAAATGCTCCTAAAAGAGACATCCACAGAGATAAATGATATGATGAAGTGGAAACTTTTGGGGTACACAGGTTTGCAATGAGAAATACTTCAAGGCTTCTGTCTTGAACCATTAAGGGACCACTATTTTTTCCTTGCTGTTTAGAGCTTTTGTCTGAAAATTTGTGAATTTAAACATCTTTTGAGTGCTCTAACAACCATCATTCAGGCAATAGGTCTAGTGGTTGGCAACGCTGCACATAGCAGGGGGGTTGAAACTAGGTGATCACTGTGGTCATATAGCTATTGTGACATGGAGTGAGGAAATGTTGCAGAAATAAATAACAGTATGCAATATTTCTCCCCTTTGGCAATGAAGGATTTGCAGAAGAGTATCTAGTGTTCTGTAAAAAGTTATGGAAAGTTTAGTCAGATGTCTTCCATTAAAAGCAATGGGAAATTTTATGTAAGTTTTGAAACAATTATGAAGAGTATACAGCATCTTTTCTGACTCATTAGACCATAAAGGCTCCTAAGTATCTGATACGTACTACACCTTTCCAGCATAGTCTTGAATACAGTAAAGAATTGTCTTGATGCTTTAAGATTTAAGCGTCAGGATCCTCAGTTGCTCCAAATTAGAATATCTTCATTAAAACTCTGTGGAGCTCTGGCAACATGAAGTAGCTAAAGTTCCTCTAGATTAAAATCTATAAAAAGCCGTTATGGTCTATTAATCATCTACATTTTTTACAGTCCTCAAATATTGTTATATTTATATAATTTGTATTTCATTTATGTTACCTTTTCATATATCTAATAGTTTTATGCATTCCAAAGTTCTTGACATGAAGAGTCGCTTAGAACTGTGTATGTATGTAGCTGTGGGCTTGATGTTCTAGTGGTCTCAGCACAGGCCTATTTGGAAAGACCTCTAATCCCTCCTTTGACATTCACTCCTTCTGTGGCCTTGGTTTTAATTTTTTGATCTCAGTTTCCTTAAGTATTAGATTATGGTATTTTCAGGAGTGTTGTGATAACTCTATTGCACTTTGAAGATGGATTTGTGTGTACGTTTATTATTAAAGAGAGTAAAGCAAAGAACTGTATTTTACAGTCAACATACAGGCTAAGTAAAATAAAACTTTTGCAGTTAGGGATTCCATTTGCAAAAGTTAAGTTTTAAATATTGTATTAAAATGGAAGAATGTATTTAAGACATGGAGAGTCACTTACAGTGAACTAAAGTATTTCGCTAAAATGAAGGCGTTTCTGAAGGACGTGGAATGTAAGAGTTTATTTGCACAAAACTACCAGAGGGAAATCAAGGAAAAATAAGTCCACAACTGAATATGAGCTCTGGATTCTAAAGCTTTAAAAAATGGATTGTGTGTGAAGATCTGCAAATATTGAAATTGCCACTAATCTAATTACACTGAGGGTTGCATTTGTTAAAGATGGGATGGCATTTAACGTAAGAAAGATCCTGTGGAAAATGCATAGCAAAATTTTCTTTTCCAGAGGAGAAAGCATAAATCCTGAAGCAGAGCAATGATGAGAACAGGAAAATATACTTAAATGAGGATAACTCTGGGTATCGAAAGGATGCTGAACAGAAAAAAAAAAAAAAAAAAAAAAGAAAAGAAAGGGAATATCAGTTTACTTTGACCCAAAATGGTAGCAGTGAGAGTATTCTGAATTCTATTCCTTCAGTACCAATGTAAACATTTGTACCAGTCTCAAAGTTTGACTACTGTGGTCAAGACAGTGTGATATGATATGTATCATGTGCTGGGCTGGAAGGCTAGTAATGTTATTTACAGATGTTCTGTGAAAGGAAACCAGCTGATGAAGTATGCGAACACATACTAGTTCAGGATTAATTTCACCACCAGTTCCACTACTTGGCAGAAAACTTTATCTTTCTGAAAAAAAGTCTCTTCAGACTTTTCATTGATTTGTAGACAGAAGATCCAACAACATTCTAAAAGATCGTTAACCTTTTAAAGTTGTGAATATTCAAGCAGCATACATGCATTTTTGTTATGGCCCAAATTTCCACAGCAAATACTGTGTTTTGTAAGTCTGATTACAACATTTACCCCATCTTAATTTATTGAAGAGAAAGGATTATGTACCTAATTTATACTGCTTCATAAGGAATTTAAAGAAAATAGAGTAATCTGCTCAGAGTGCAGAATCTTTGAATCATTATGCTAAAGAGCTGGGTTTGCTACTGTCAGGAATTGAACTTCTATGACAGTATGTTTGTAGACTTCAATATATCAGGCAAGTAAAAATGTAAAGATGGGAAACTCCAACTAAACAGTTTCCAAATGACCTTACACCCTTGAGCTGATGCTTGCCAGCTGAACATTGATTGACAGTGCTATGGCTTTGCTATAAAAAGGTCACTTTGCAATCACTCTGGATGGTTATTGCTGTGATCATAGGACTCTGCAGTCTGAAAATGATATAATGGGATAAAAGTTCCAGAACTGTGTTAAGCAGTAGTGGTTTCTTTTTTTTTTTTCTTCTAGTTTTCTTATGAACATTTACCAAAGAGTAAATGACATGATTAAATGAACCTTCTTACAGAAATGTGGAAAGCATCATTCACTTGACACATTTGTTGTAAATTATAGATCCCTCAAGAACAGAAAAGAAAGAGAGCAAATGTCCTACCCCTGGGTGTGATGGAACTGGCCATGTAACGGGGCTTTACCCCCATCACCGCAGTTTGTCAGGATGCCCACACAAAGATAGGGTCCCTCCAGAAAGTAAGTTCACATTGTTTCATGGAAACTGGGGATAAAACTACAAGGATTTTTCTAGCATGCTGTTAAAACTTTTTATTTTCAAAGTTAATTTTATTTTTTAGTATGGTTTGTCTCAACTTAGTCAACTGTTCTGTGTAACAATTTTTTCCTTTATTCCATCGTTTCCATTCTCTACTAACTTTTACACTAAAACAACAACTTTTAAAGCTGTATTCTTTGATTTTAATAATGCTAGGTTATTCATGTAGATTTATTTAGTCAACAGACAAAAAGGTTTCATGAAGATGTGCACTGCTTTTACTTCTGCGTGCTAATGTCATATCAGCTGTCTCTTGTCTTGTACAGGAATAATTTTATTTGAAAAACTTGGAACCCCTTTCCTCTGTTATTGTTGCATCTTAAACATAATTTATCTTAAACTAATTGATATTACTAAAAATAACAATTTGGCTATATACGCAGTTATAAAACTCAGGATTTTGAGCAATATTTCCCTGTCAGTTACATGGATGGAATTTCCTGTCATGTCAGTGGATTCTGTGCAAAGGAAGTTCACCCGTCTAGACATAGATAGAGGCAAAAGGAAACATTAAAGACAGGATTGCAATGATCTCCAATTTCCCAGGGAAACTAGATGCTGAAGGACAGGAAAGTGGAAATAGATCAGCACACCAAGAGAAGCAGAAATAAGAAGTCTTCTGTTTCATAGTAGTTTCTTCCAGAAATAATGAGGAAGTGCTTTAGGAAACTTTGCTGCATCTTGGTTGATCTCTGAACGCAGTAGATCAGATAGATTTATTCTTCACTTTGTAAGACCCTGTAAGTTCCTGCAACACAAGTGTTCTCTCAGTTGCTCAAAGTTCTCTCATTTTTATAAATGGTAAATAAAAAGCTCTGTAGAAGACTATGCAAATCAAAGAAGAATATAGCTTTAAACTGTTTGCATGCTCTTGTACCTACTAAAATGGAAAAGGTGAGCTCATCCTTTTGTTTTTTTCCTGTGATGTTGGCCTTGTGAAGCATGTTTCAAGAACAGCCTTAAATAGTAGGAATTTCAGAGTAAAACTGCATCTATACATGTTTTAGTACACTGATGATGGGATGATGATGATGGTTATCATTTAATCAGTATATGTGGTTTAAATTTTCAGTTCTTTAAACAGTATTTATTCCATTTTTTAGTCAAAGAATTTATTGATTCTGTTAGAACTTTTTTTTTGAGTGAGAACTAAATGCAGATTTCCAGACTAGTGCTTGAATGAGAAAACGAGGAATTTACAGGAGTTGGATAGCCTCTTTCCATAGAGTGATATATTGTCATCCAGCTCTGAGATGTGGATTCAGACACATGGAACTGTCTCATGTAACAAAAAAGCTTGTGATAATTTGGAATTTCTTAGCTTGAGTTTTGATTCAGAAAAGACCTGCTCTAAGCAGCTGTAGGAGTTAATTTTCCATCTAGTTTGCAATGGAAGCAGATGTAAACCTGTTACTAGCGTAAGCTTGTTCCACTTGTTTCTTTTTGTACAAAGGTTGGGTTGTTGTTGGTTTTTCTTTTTTTTCTGTTATTATTATTAGTTGCTTTTTTTTTTTTTTTTTTTTTTTTCCACCATCCCTCAATTTTTTAACTGCTTATTTTTAATTTTTAGTCTTTTTTAACAAAAATTCTATCACTTGCAGTTTTCATGTCTGTGAAAAATACAAGTTAAAATCTGAAAGGGCCAATTCTTCTCATCGAATAGACATAGCTATGTGGATGTGGGCAGAACTGGGCCCTACATCAATTGGGTTGTCCTGTAGTTAGTATCAAATTCTAATCAGTGTTGCATTGAGGCGTATTTCAAGCAATCCAGTGTTCCACCAGTATAACTTGAGAGCAGATTTTCATTCTCGAGCTTGATACTGTGTGCGTAAAGTCATATATTCCGAGTACATACATTTTCTGGAAGAATTTTTGTAGTCCATAACTTTTTAGTGGACTGTTGCTAGCTCGCTGTTCGCTGTTGAGCAGATCTTTGCTCAGTGTTTTTGTATGAGGATGTGGGAAGTCTTGTGCTTCATTGTTGCACTAGAGACACATTTGATTATAGGTTCTGTAGCCTTCATAACTTTCACTGTTGCCCTGTGTTAGAGTATAGGGTCACAGTACTTACTTCCCTCATCAGGCTTTATTGGCTATGTGTGTCATGTGTATTTTGAGGAATGCTGGTTGTTAATGAATCCTGCTTTGTTTTAAAATGGTTTCATATATACTGGGATTTGATTTTTTTTTCTTGTTTTCATACTCTGCTGTTTTCTCTTACTCTCCTTGTCAAGTTCTTGCCATGCATGAAAATGTTCTTAAGTGTCCTACACCAGGCTGCACAGGCCGGGGCCACGTAAATAGCAACAGGAATTCCCACCGAAGGTAAGGATGCCATCACTGGACACCAATCTAGAGGGAACAGTGCCTCCAAACTGCAGCCCTTCTAGCTGTCCATGGCAGGGGGGGAGTGTGAATGTGTGTTCTGTTGTGTTGTTTCTAAGATTGACAGATGGTGCATCATGTGCTTTATCTGCTTTAAAGAGTTATATTTTTTCATATGTTTTCTGAGGAGGATAAATGTACATTTGCCTCAGAATGGATGAATTGATCTGCAGAACACATTTCAAGCATCCTTAGCTTTTGGGGTGTTTTTTTTTTTTGTTGTTGTTGTTTTTGTTTGTTTTGGTTTGTTTTTTTTTTCTCCTTTCTGTTTTGGGATTAGCAGTGATGCAAAATGAGTATGACTCCCTTACGGGCATGTCACAAGGAGACTGAAGGATCTGCCAACATCATCAAGACTAGGGCAGAGTTCTTGTCTTCACTCTCTTCAGAGATTATATTGCATGAAAAACTCCACTCTACTTCTAAAAATGATTATTTTTTTATACATGGGAAACAGCATTTTAGGTACACAAACATTGTAAGAGATAACTTTTCTAAAAATGTACTTTTGACCCTGTAGTCCTCATTCACAACTAAGAAAGATTATGAAAATGTCTCACTACATTAAAAAAATTAGAAGATAAAAATGTTCAATAAAAAAAGTCAAAAGGAGATCAAGAAAAAAGGTAACTTTTCTGTAGTTTCTGAAAATTACTAATAGAATCTTACAGAAGGGATGCAATTTCCTTTTAATTTTTTTTAGACAAATAACAAAATTATCAAAATATTTCTGCAACTTTTAGTAGATCACAGTATTCTCACAAAATACAAGATCTTGCTTGTTTCTTTATAGTTAAAAAAAAAAAATAGGAAATATGAGTGGAGGGTATAAGGATGCAAGGTTCCTATTTAATTCCTTTTTTACTGTTAACTGTAGCGTCAATGCGTAAGGGACTACACAGGTACTGAATGCGCAGTCTTGTCAAACTCTGCCTTACTGGAGCCCCGTGTATTTACTGCATGCCTCCTGGAAGACTCTTGTGGGTACCTCACCCTGTACAATTTCTTCTCTGTAGTGGTGCTGCTGTTAGATGCGGCAAAAATCTCTGAGAAGGCATCATGGGATTTACTACTGCTTGAAGCAGTATTCACTTCTGGTTGAATATCTACTAGATTATTAGAGGTGTCTGAAAAGAGCATGTCAATAGAGAGCAGCTGCCCTCTGACATGACTCCAGAGCCCCCTCGACCCTCTGCAGAGGTAGGAAACTGAAGAAGGGCTGAAAGGAGCAGTCTGCAGTCTCTGCTCACCTCCTTCTGCAGCTTTTGGGGCATTTTGCTCTGCTTCGCTATTTTATTTATTTTTTTCCCGGTAGAGAAGGGAACATCTGGGAATGCACTGATTTGCCTTTCATTTTCTTTTCCTGTGGAGAACACAGAGAACTGCAGTCGCATAAACACGCAATAGACCATGACAAGGAAAGGATCCCCTCCATTGTCAGGTCACAGGTTTTTACAGCGTCACTAAGAGCACCATCTGCTGGCATCAGATACTTATTTTTTACTGATTTTTATTTATTTATTTATTTATTTTAAAGGCTTATTTTAGTCACTGCAATAGTAGTTCAGCATTTTCAAATTTAATTGAATTTCAAGTGCAGAATTTCCTTTCAAGTTGTATCATCTATTATTAGAAAACATACCTTAGTGCTTGAATTCCATGAAAAATCACTAGGCGTAACATATCTGAGATGTAGATTTAGAGACCTTAGACCAAATTTTGCACTCATTTATATAACTTGCTTTTGATGAAGGTGAATAAAGTGTGAAGCAGTGCAAAATTTGGCCTACATGGTGTTTAATCATCCTTAAAAGCCATTTCATTGACAACATTTGTAGATTCGTAAAGGTTACAAGTCTGCTAACAGAGCTGCACAATAGATCCCAGGTTATTCTCCTCTTTTACTGGTATGTTCACTGGGTGACATTCATAAATAATCTACCCACATACAATCAGAGAAGAACAGTTCTAAGATCTACCATGTAACTTTGAAAACAAAAGAAAGGAAGTCTATAGAAAATCCACATGACCAAAAAGCTTTTGGAAAGTCTTTTCCTTCAGATTCATCCTGATACACGCTAAGGAGGAGAAGGAGTAATTGGATCAGTGCTATAATGTGAAACTACGCAGGACAAGAAAATTAAATTTCCTTTCTGTAATTGCAGCCTCTCTGGATGTCCTATTGCTGCAGCAGAGAAACTGGCTAAAGCTCAAGAGAAGCATCAGAACTGTGATGTGTCAAAATCAAACCAGGCATCAGATCGGGTTTTAAGGTATTAGAAATCACTATAATACTTATTATATGCAGAATTCATCACACATTCACCTAATCTGAGAATTTATATTTATATACATTGTATATACATATATATCTCCTTTAAAGAAGAGTTAGAATTAGGGCTTCTGGATCCAATTCTCACAGAGTATGTTTCCCACTCAATTTACATGGGGGAGGGTTGGTAATTATTTTGGCAAATACATGTAAAGCTGAAAAGCTCATTTTTGTCTTAGGCATTGTTTGGTGTAAAGATGACTGCTGGAGTGCAAAGTCTAAGAACAGTGTGAAAAAAGTTGGTATCTTTTGGGAATAAACTAATATTTACCGGTAAGTCTTGGTTTTTTCAGCAGGCTTTTACTAGTAAATATCAGTTTAAATTAAACCAGAAGCCCTATTTGCATTACCAAAATGGTTGCAGACCTTTTTAACAGCACACTTGGAAAAATGATGAATACGGCTTAGATCCCAAAATAAAGTCAGGTGTAGTTCTTTGTTCCTCTACTCACGTCCAGGAAGGATGGAAAGAAAGAAAATTTGTGCTAAATTTTATATGATCTTGAACCACTTTGACATAATTATACTCCTTCTCTTCATCCATATATTCTTTATTAATCCAAAGCTATAACTAGCTTTCCACTAATGTCTCCTCTTTTGAGATATATGGGTGGAAAAAATACTGTTTCTAAGGAGCTGAAGTGTGAAGGATACATGTGAAAGAACTAGACTTCTGCATGATTATTCCAGCCTTGTACTGATGATGCCCCAAGAGCTGCAGAATTTCTCAGTGGATACTGCGGTATTTGTGGGCTGGGATAGGTACATCCCTCACAGCTGTCAGGAGGAGCATGGAGGAACTGCCATAGCTTTAGTTCCCAGCATTTCCTATTTATCCCATTCATTTCTTAGTATTGGATTATCTTCTAGATTTGAAATCTGATAGGGTTGCTTAAAATGAAATTTTGTATTATCAAGATTATTCTTTGCATATTCTCTAAAGCTTCATCTAGTCATAATATTTAAAAACAACAGCAACAACAACAACACCGTTTGGACAGAACTAAGAACACAGATTTATTGCTCACATCTGTGGATTTTTTTTCTTGGGCCTATTGACTTCTTTCCTTGGATTTTTTTTTTTTTTTTTTTTTTTCTTAACTACCCCCAATTCAGATTATTCTACTTTTCATGTAGCATCCCAGACAGTTTTCTTAGAGAAAGATTCTTAAAGCCTATTAATAAACAAGAGCTTATGTGAGAATAGCACAGTTTCTCATTGGTGGAAAAAGGCAAATTAAAAAATACAGTGGTTTTTATCACTGTTCATTGGGGATGCCATACAAAAAAGGCAACTGCTCAAAAGCAGCATCCAGTTTGCTGGAAAACTCCCTAGGAAATTGCACTGCAGTCTTAATGTTGCTTGTGAGTCTGCCCTGTGTTTCACATTTTATCAGCAATTCAGATAATACTTTCATTTTATCTCCTACTTCCCTTTTACCTTTAAGTCACTGAAGTCTTTGAGAGGACGAACTTGGGAGTTAATTATGATATTTACATGCAGGCAACTAATAGGGAGACAGGGATGTTCCGAGACTAAGTCTTAAATATTTGTCTTCATCCCAGTTTCCATCCCACTTTCATTTAGAATTTCTTGAAGAGAAATCAAATTCATAAGACCTCTGTTCCACAGAAATTTTGGATTCACACTGAATATACAAGAATTGAACTACATTTTATGTTAGCTGAACGTGGATTGTCTTGAGGTAGAATCAAAATAATATTCATATCAGCTCATTGTGTAAATGCTCCCACTGTGCTTTGGAGGAAGAAATATCCAAAGAAGTGAGCAAACATAAATCAAAGGAAATAGTATGACTAATGTGATTTTTTTGGGTGTTCTTTACATAAATATCCTAAATTATATGAAAATGAATTGGTTCAGATAACACATAATATTCAAAACCTAATTCTTAATAGATAACACATTCCATTTTGCCAACCTTCCTCTGGTCTTGACTGAGTTTATGATCTTACAACTGTTCCTTCTATTTCCACTGGTTGTAAATGCAGTAAAGAAAAAAAAAAAAAAAAGGAGAAAAAACAAAAAAAAACAAAAAAAAAACTTGACAGTATGATTTTTGATTCCAGCAGAAGCACCTAAGGTGTACTGTTCATCATCTTTACCTCCTGCTAAATGCAGTGGGTAGGCAAGCATCACTGCATAGAATCTGCTTGCTATAACCCATTTATATTACACTTTCTTGTGTAGGAAGGGTTTGCAGGATCTCACCTTGCCTTATACACTGAAAGCTAATGAGTTCTGTGTCCACATGCAGAAGACAGTGTGACAGTGGAGAAGTTCACTACAGCATTCCTTCACTGAGATTTCAAACTTTCTTCAAGGGCCTGAAAGAGATCAGTTGGGACTTTTCCTGACTGTCTTCTCTGATCCTAAAGGAAAGAGATATTTAGCTGATATACGTTTATTCTGTATTCACTCAGATAACTTTGCTTGAGATATTTGTGTAGCAAGACTTGCAGCTCCTGCCCGAGCCCTGCATTTAAGGGTGAGCAGGACATGTGAGGCAGCTGGAAGTCCACAGAAATAGTGAGAGTATCCTGTGTATTTCTCAGCATCAACTCTATACTGAAGGATGAAACAAGACTAACTCCTTTGGAAAACGTACAGGAGAACAGCATGCAATTCTGTTGAAAAAGATTTAGAGGAAACTCCATTAATTAAATCAAGCTTCCCATGCTTTCTTTTTTTTTTTTTTTTTTTTTTTTTTGACATTTGAAGGAATTTGTTCAAACTTCTTCTGTCAGTTCACTTGTCCTTTTTTGATTCACCTCCCAAAAAGAAAATGTTTGCTATGTGATGCAATTACAAAGGGAAAGTGGAACCCTGGGGTATTTTAAAACAGAATTTTAAAATACTTTTAGATACAGAATACATTTAGCTGTATTAGAATTAATTTTGTCTAGGCTTTGTTCAAGAAAATATGTATTGTTTGTCTGCTGAAAATAACCAAACAAAGCAAATGCAATAATCTATTGCTGTCTCATGAGTGCAAGAAATAACTAAGATTTTCTAATCTGAACTATAAATTATGCACAAACACAGTAAACTGAACTGCATCTAACAAACTTTACATATCTTTAATTTCTAGGCCCATGTGCTTTGTTAAGCAATTGGAGATCCCTCAGTATGGCTACAGAAACAATGTCCCCACCACCACACCCCGCTCCAACTTGGCCAAGGAACTAGAGAAATACTCTAAGACTACGTTTGAATATAACAGTTATGACAACCATGCCTATGGCAAGAGAGCCATAGCTCCCAAGGTGCAATCCAGGGATATATCCCCCAAAGGATATGATGGTAGGAGGTGCACACTCTTATACATGAGAGACAAGTTTGCAGTTAATCATGTTGTTGTATATGTAAACATCATATAAATAAGACATGTTTTCATGTTCATATAGTATTATGAGGAATGCTGTCATGTGTAAGTTCTTTTTAAAGGCCTTTTTAAAAAGCATTGTTTTATATGGTCCTTGCTTCACAATTGTTGCACTGGCAAAAGAACATCTCCAGCTATTAAGCTCCTGGGATGTGTTGTGATTGCAGTAAAACTAAGGAATAGAACTAGTTCTTGTGATGCAGGAACACTGCATTATGTTGCTGTCTGGGAGACCTGGCCTCATGGGTCACATTAGGATTCTCATTTCTGTACAGCAGTTCAAGTAACTCATAAAGATAACATACGTACTCTGGGGATGTGGAAGTAGAAAACCTGGATCTCATTGCACTTCAGATATCTATGCTACTTACGTAATGAGGCATTTGTGTTCATCCTTGTGAATTTCTGCTTTTATCCTTGTGCATACACCTGTAGAGGTCTCTGGGAAACCTCACATTACATTTAGAAATAGACTGAAAGTGGCTTCAGTTCAAATGAATAAAATAGTGTCCGTCAGGCAAGAGGATTTTCACTAGAGGACAAAAATGAACTAAACGATGAAGAATGCAGGATTTGGATTGTAGCTTATGAGGACATCAAGATTTTTTCAGAGCAATACTAATTTGATATAGTAATAAGTGTCTTTTTTTTTTTTTTTTTTTTTTTTTTTTTTTTTTGTTGGTGGTTTAAATATTTTTTTTTTTTTTTTTTTTTATTATGGGAAATAAAATTTTGTTTCAGAATTTTATTTTTGAAAAAAAAAAAAAATACAA